CTGCCGCTTCTAGCTTCACACAACATTGACTTCTCCCACCCAAAAGGTTCGAGGCCTTTCTCTTTCTGCAGATCATCTTGAGTGAGTGAGCGCTCAGGTCACGGGCCAGGTATCAAACTTGTTGCTTTACCCCACCCACCCATGCACACGCTCACACGCTCACACAAAGCTGCCTACCATTTGCTTGGTATAAAGGTGCTTCACCCTCGCTCACTCTAAGCGTCTTGTCTCTATTTTGCTCTTGCCCCAGGTGCTTTGGCTTCCGACTCGTACGACCGATCCATCCCCGCACTTTTTCTTTGAATCAAGTATGAGCCCACCCCACCCCACCCCCCGAGTCGCCACACACCCCTTCTTCTGTCTTGCTTTAAACCCTTGATCTTGACGATCGTGTGTACTCATGAGCGCCTTTGCCCGCTTGCTTACTCCTGCTCGCCCCTATTCTCCCGCCCTCTCTCCCTTTCCCATTTCCCCCTCTCTCCGTCACTCCCGCCGCGACTGTCGCCCAGCCTGCAACAACAACAACATCCAGCACCAACTCTTGGGTGCCGTCCTGATTTCCTCTGGGCGAGTTTGTGCGCCCCTTTTGTTTGAAACCTGCGTGGCGCACCTCTCTTCTCCCTCTAAAGAAGAGCTAGCCACCACCACCATCAGCAGCACCACCAGCACCACCAGCACCAGCACCAGCACCAGCACCAGCATATTTTTGTGAGCGACCTTTTTTTTTTAGTTTTTGCTTGTTGTTTGTGGTTGCACACAACACAACATCAGCATTAGGCATCATCCACCCGATTTTTGGTGGTGGTTTTGTGGTTTGCATTTTGTCATCATCTTGAGCAGACCTGATTGATTGATCTCTCTCTCTCTCTCTCTCTCTCTTTTATTCTTTTACGTTTTGCTTCTCTCTCTCTCTCTCTCTCTGTCTCTCTCTCTCTCTCTTTCTCTCTCTCTGTGTTTTTTTCTCTCTCTCTCTCTCTCTCTCTCTCCAACGTCCCGGAGGGCTGAGCTGGTTAAACCCCCGAGCTCGCTACGACTGCCACTTTTTGTTTCTTTTTTTTGGGTGGATCTTGGCTTGAGAAGGGAGGCAGCCATTCTTGCTATCAGGCTGTCTCCTTCCCCTGCTGCGCCGTTTCTCTCCCCTTCTCGTCCTCTTTCTCCGCCTGTGTGCTGGATCCGCCCACCTGCCAGGTTGTGTGGCGCATCAAGCCTCGCCCCTCGACTTTGCTCCCAAAGTGCACAGACGCGGCGGCTACGTACGCTCTCGCATCACCCGGACCGGGCTGGTGCATGTCGTTGCCCCAGTGTGTGTGCGCGCGCGTTTGCGGCGCCAAACTCAATGCCCGGCACAATGTCAAGCCGGGAGGCCGCCCTGGTCCACATTACCAAAAACTTGCTCCTCCGCCGCGCCGGTCTGGAAGATGAAGATGATTTGCACGAACTTCATGACCTCGACCTTGCCGGCACCCACTTTCCCCGTGGACGCATCAAGGTACGATTCCTTTTGTTTGGTGTAGAGGGGGGCGGGTGTTTGCTTTTCCCCTTTGTGGCCAACCCTCCCCTCGGAGCGCAACACTTGTTTTGTTATGGTTGTGCTGCCTGCCCCCGTCGCTGGTTCTGACAAGGGTGCACCAGCATCAACACCATTCTGATGATACGACTCACTTCTTCTTTGCCGCCTGCCCGCCTGCCTGCCTGCCCTCTCCTCGCGCTCGCTTGAACATCAAATTACATCCACGCTTGATAGTACATGGAGGGATTCGAGCGTTCCCCGTACCTCAAACATTTGACGCTCTCGTCCAACTGGATCAAACAACTTTCCAACCTACATACCCTTCAACGACTCGAAACACTGCGGCTCGACAACAATGATCTATCCTCCCTCAAGGGCATTGGCCAGCTCTCTTGCCTGCGCGTGCTCAACGTCGAGCACAACAAGCTGACCAGCCTGCCCCCCGAACTCTTCCAACTGACCCACCTGCGCGAACTCCGGCTGGCCCAGAATCGCCTCGCTAGCCTCCACGGCCTTCATGGGCTGGCCAGCTTGGCCAATCTCTGCATCCTTTCCATCTTTGGTAACCCAGTGTCCGATCTTCCCCACACCCGGGCCTACCTCCTGGCCATCTGCCCATACGTTGACGTTCTTGACGGAATCAGCATCAACAACCAAGAGCGCCGCGATTCACAAGAACGCCTCGTTCACCTTCGCGGCCTCGCGACCACACCGCCAGCCACATCACCACCCGCCGAACAAACCTCCGATGGCGCAGACCAAAGCACTGCCACCGTTGCCACGGATGCTGGTGAGCTCTCTGCAGAACCTGATGACATGGACGACGTGGCCCGTGATCGCCACCTCAGCAGCGACAGCGGGGTGCCCCGGCGCAGCAACTCACCTCCAACCCGGCCCCGCCGCACCTTCCTCAAGACCCATTCCATCGACAGCGGCATCTCCTACCCGGCTGTCGTGCAAGAAATAGAAGAACTGCGGCGCTCCAATTGTGAACGCGACGACCTCCTCAAGCAAAAAGACGATGAAATATCACGTCTGACCGCCCTCCTCTATGAGGCCCAGGAACGTGCCAACGTCGTGCCCTCCCTTGACTCCAGTACCGGCCAGAATTCGGTCATGTACTCACAAGCCGTCGCGCAACACACCGCGGATCATCTCGATGCCAACGAAGAACGTGATCTTCGTGCTGAATTGCACCGCCTACGCCGCGAGCAGGGCCACTCCGACCCCGAACACGGCGGTCTCGGCCCGGTGCCAGAGCCCGTCCACCAGAGCGCTCGCTCATCCCGCTCCATGACTCGCCAAAACTCGCGCAACAGTGAGTCTGCTTCCGCCGGCGAGGCCCGCTCAAGCTCTGACGCCCAAACCCAGCAGGTCCGGCAACTCGAAAACCAGCTCTATGAACTTCACGCCCGCCGCCAAGCCCGGCTCGGTGACGCCGCGCACAACGACGTCTTTTTCACCCTTGACGTCTCCGAGTTGACGGATCTACCTCCTCGCGCAGATCAAACTTCACAGGAACGGGAGGAAGCCGATGCCTGGCGCACGGCTGCTCTCAACAATCAACAGCGCGTGCAGGAGCTCGAGCACCGCCTCACTGAAGCACAGATGGAGCTGGCCTCGGTCGAGTCGGAGCTCTCCCACCAGAACGGGCGCGGTGCCAGCGCCCCTCCACCTCCCACGCGCCGGCATACCGCGCCACACTCCCTCAACGTCCGCTCCCATTCTCTCGAAGCCATGCCTTCACCCGTGGCCACGGAGCTTCAGGTGACGCGCGCGCGCCTTTTGGCTGTGCTTGATGCCATCAACGCGCATGCAGGCTCACGCATTGTGCGCGAGCACATGGCGCCCGCTGAACTGGCCCTGACCTTGCAAAACATGGTCCTTGAAGAGCAACAGGCTCGTGACGAGCTCCATATGCTCAAAATGCGCCTGGAAGCTCTCGTGGTCGGCTTTGGGGTGGCGTCGGATGAGCAAGAAGGCACGGCGGTGTCGGGTGTAGCCCTTCATGGTCTCGAACCCATCGAAGTCGTGAGTCGTCTCTTGGCCAAAACCGTGAGCACGGCCAAGGAATTCAACCACCTGGAGGAGGAACTCCGTGCCATGAACGATCAGACCAAGAATCGGCTCGCCCACCTCAGTAGCTGGCTGCACGACGAAGGGCTGTCCCAGGTGGCCCGCCCCGTAGAAATTCTCGTCGAAGCCAAGCCATGCTACCCGCGCCAGCGGCTTACCTGGCAACAACATGCCGGTCACACATTGGCCTCCATTTGCGAGAAACTGGTTGACTCCTACCGAGACCTGCGGCGGCGGCGCTCCTCCATCAACCAAGAAGCCGCCCTGCAGGAGCAGTTGCGTATTGAGGTGGAAGCAGCCTCCAAAAAACGAAGCCAGGCGATTGCCGCGCTTCAAAAATACGAACAAAATCTGGCGCGATTAGAGGCCATCATGTCACAACACGAGGCCAGCGTCCAGCGTCTATTTCGTCTTCGTAGCTGCATTGCATCCCAGACAGATGACTTGCAACGCCTTCTACAGCTCATACAGACCGGTGATGACGCTGTGAATGAGGAAGGCGCGAACAAGGAGGCGACCACGGTTGCCTCGCGTGCCATTGAGCTTCGGGCCATGGAGGAACGACTGGGCAAGCTTTTGGCCCAAGCCTGCACCGAGCTTTTGCAAGTTGCCGCCTTTGCCGATGATGTTGAGGGCTAAGCCAACAAAGTGCCTGTTTTGGATCTTTTGTTTGTCAATCTGCTTGCTTGCCTGCCTTTCTGTTGGTGGTTTGCCTTGACGAGACGAGCTGCGCTCTGTTTTTCTTTAAATATTTCTTTTCGCTAGACGTAGGCCGCCCAGCCCGCCACGCTTGCTTTGGTTAGATGTTCCACCGTTTCCCCGAGTATCACAAGAGAGTTTCATGTCTTTGTCTTTGTCTTTTTTTTGCCCTTGGTTTGTTGCTTGTTCTTTTGATTTGGCCCAGTTTGTTTTCTTCTCTTTCCTTTCTTTTTTCCCTGGTTGGGGCCTCCTTTCATTTTGCTGGGTGCAGACAATGCTCAGGGGTAACCACACCCGCGCTCCTTCATGTCTGTGACATGGTTATTAGGTTTTCAGATGATTTGTTTTCGATGCGCTGTCTTTCCTGAAGAAGGAATCATAACAATTTACATGTTAGTAATTATTATTTCCTCCAGATCAATTCACTTGATTTTCCGTTTCTTGTTTCTTGTCCGTGGCATTCGAGCCCGCCATCCAAGATGCATCTGAGAAAACTATGGCACAAAAAGGACAGGAGGATAGTCCCTATTTCCAAACCTTAACCACGCCACTTGTGTCAGCCGAGACCACCAAGCCATTGTTCTCCGTCACCAGGGCCACCGCACTCAATGGGGCACGATGGTGACACTGCGGACATCCAAAACAGGTGAAAAATTCATGAGCATTTGCGCATATGGCAACCCTTGGATTGTGTTAAAGGATGCAAGAGAGCCAAACAGACCGAGGGCGCAACGGGTCCGGGCTGAAAATCGTTGTCTGCGGGCATTGGGGCTGGCTTGGGCCGCGTGAGAACCATATGGCGCTGAGTTTCCGTCTCAAACTCCTTGGCATCTGCCGTAGTCGAATGTCATTGCACAGTTCAGGATAATTATGAGCGTGTCACAAGCCAAATCCCGTGCGTCAGCTCAACAACCCCTGCATGATGCTTGCAGGGTGGGCCCCGACCTTTTTGCCCAAAACCAAAGGAGTCGCTTGTCACGGCTGTGTTCCAGACGGTGATTTGACGATGATTGTCACCAACAATCACGAGCGGCGAATCGGATTCCGTGGCTGACACACACGTGATGTTCTGTCGACCCAGCACAGAGAATGAGTTAGACGCTTCACGTCGACAGAGCAAACAGGTAAATGTGAGCAAAGGTGCAATCTCGTACAGAGCGATGAGGTGTGGCCGTGCGCGAGGCGCTCGAGGCGCAATACAAGCGATCTAGTTCTTCTTGATAACGAAGCACTTCTTGCCGCTCGCTAAAAAAAAAAAAAAAAAAAGCCCGCCTTTGTGTCAAACACAGCCAGAGTTTTCAAAGACCTTTCTCTGTCACAAAGGCCCGCGACCCCAGACGCCTGATCGGTGCCATCAGATACAATGTTGACATACGAGATTAAAAAGTCACGCTTTTCACGCTCCTTCAGCTGGGTCCACGATACGGAGAGATTAACTTGGTCCGACTACAAACGGGACCATAAGCCATGAGGATCCGAGTGCAAATGTCTTGAATCCGTAGCCCCTTGAAAACACATAGGCGTAGGGTCACTTACCGAGGTCATGTCGCTACGCACGGCGTCTGCGTGAAAGTCGTAGGCTGAGCGTGGGGCGGGTAGGCTGGAGGGGCTGGGCAACTCCAACGGCAGTGCAATGTTCTCGCGCGCCACCTGAAAGAGTTGCTGGCGCTGACGGGTGCGCATATTCCAGCTGGTCAGTGTCCAGTCGCCCACGGCTGCCACGATCTGCGGCGGCCTGGTGCTGTCAAAGTCGTGGGGGAAAAGGCCCAGGTGCTCGATTCGAGGAGCGTCACGCCAGTGGACGACGGTCTTGTGGAAGCGAAGATCCCACACACTGAGCACACCAGCCGACGTGCCCCCGGCCAGCCAGAGACCGTCTGGGGACATGACCGCCGACGACATGAGACCATAGTCGTTGGCGAGAGACATGGAGCTGGAAACCCGCTTTTGGCGGTGATCCAAGATGCAAATGCGATTGGACGTGGTGTATGCCGCAACGATGGCACGTGAGAAAGTGTGCGCTCTCGCCCCAGTGAGGCCCATGACACGGCTCTACGCGTGATTTAGGAAGAGAGAGAGGTTAGATCTCAAGCAGGACAAGAGGATGCCATGGGAGGGTGCGACAGGAGAACGAGCGGCAGACAGCCAAACAACAAGGGTTGTGTGCGTGCTTTCTGAAGCATTCATGTTATCAAAACAAGAAGCCGGCTGGCGATACACGTGCCTGGTCGGGCATTTCCACCGCCGAAGCTGTGGCTACTTTCTGAATGTCGTAGAGGACGACCTTGCTACCAGAACTAGCAGCAAACTGTTGTCGGAGCTGCGTGAAGCATGGGCAGTATGAGCAGCTGCGGCGAGCCGGAGACAGCTTCCTGCAGAATCGACGAGGCTCGGAGGCAGTGGTGTGACACGAGCAAGGCGAGACACACTCACAACAGGGCTAGTAAAGAGTGATTGAACCGGTCCTTCAAACTGTGTGAAGGTTTGCTCTGACGCGCAAGGGGTCACGGCATGCGTCATCTCCGCCAAATTCCAAAGCTTGACAGTGCCATCCTTGCTCGCCGTTAGAGCACGCTACAACGTTCGAGGAGGAGAAGGCGTCCAGTTAAACAACCGACGGTATATTGCCCGTCAGAAGAGAGCATAGGATGAGCCATGGTCTCTGCTTGGAATCAACTTCACGCAATAACATACCCCACTCCCAGGCAGACTGGCAATGGCGCTCACGCGCGCACGATGCTCGTGCAAGTGTGCAATCATGGCTCCTTGTGGTACCCAAGGCCTGTCAAAGCAGCACGTTGTGAGCTGGTGGTGGGCTCGCAGAATCTGATGTCACAGGCAGAGTGGACTGAAAATATGCCACGTACGCTGAGGGCACAACGGGTGCTTTGGACGTATTGGCGCGACGATCTGCGCGGCCCAGCCCCCTACGACGGATGAAAAGAGCAGCCACCCGTATTGAGTTGATGATAGGTTCAAACAATCCTTGCAAAGATGCTTGGCAGCATACCCTTGGAGCAGGAATTCATGGCGACAAGCTGCGTGCCGCTGCGCCAGCATACCCAGCCTACAGCGCGAGAAAGATGAAAGAAGAGTGGCTTGAGGATACCCACCCACCAGCTTGTACCGGCAAGTGCGAGCCACTTCATGCTTCATCGCGCACACCCACCAGCGATACTGATTGGCACCAATGAGCCAGCACGGACCCTCCTCGGTTGCATCTCCCAACATAATGGCTGCCGTGGCCTCGGTGGCGTCCAGTGATAGTCGCTCAATCTTGAATGCAGACAAGCGTGGCAGCCAAACGTAGCAGCAAAAAAAAAGAAGGAGTACTCGCAACCATGAGCATGACGATACAGACTGGAGCAAACAAACACAAGCGGCAAGCGCATTCCCTAGGTGTCGGAATGTCACCTTGTGCGTTGGAGGAACCTGGGCCCATTCCATCATGGCTTGTTTGCGGGTCAAGGTAAAGGGCACGCGTTGGCGTGTGCGTCGCCAAGGCGACAGGCTCTCGGCCGTGGCCCCTTGCTCAAGCATGCGATATCGTCCTCGCTGTGCCTGGGAGGGCAATCAACGTCGTCCCCAGCCAAAGAACGACAGGACGGTGAGAAAGAGCGACAACTAGGGGCATGGGAATTTGGATGTAGCCACACAAGCAACAAAGCCTACCTGACGAATGAATCCGAGGAGAAGGGCTGCAGCTTGCTCGTCCTGGACGCGCATGTGCAGCTGGTCGAGTTCATCGCACGTCGCAGAACCCGGAGCGAAACCATGCCCGTCAGCGCAGAAGCCGTGCCCTCTGACAGGAAAGCAGCGTGTAAGTGTCGACAGACCTTGAGTAACTGGTTGTACAGCATTTGCTGCTTCTCGCTCAGCTGTACTTGTCGGGGCCCTGCTCGCTGCACGCTGAGCTCAGACAAGAGCTCCTCCACGCTTGATACGCGGATCCATCAAAAGGGCGCAGCGCAGAGACAGGAACGGTGAGCTTGATGGATAAGTCTAGCAAAGTAAGAAAAACACTCATCGACTGAACTCCAAGTTGGGAAAAGACATACACTCCAAAATTTTCGTGCGTCACCAAGACTTCAAAAAGACCGCGGGGCAAAGGTGGGCGAAGCGCGGTAATCAGGAGTGCCTTGTCCAAGAGCGAAACGACTGGGTAGGCCAAGAAACCCTGTTGATGGAGCACACAGGTGAGGGTGGACTGAAAGGAGCATTCGGAGCGCACAAGCGAGCTGCTTGACAAATGGAGACAGACGAATAAATGCGTACCTTGAGCTCATGCATGAGGTAGGCGTGCATATCGTACTCCGAAATCATTCCCGCCACTGTGGTCACATAATCGATGGCTGCGGCCCGAATCCAATTGCTGGCAAGCGTGCGCGGGTGCATCCGTGAAAGACGAGAGGGTCAGACAAAGAGAAGACAGCGGGAGGCCCATATGTAGACAGAATAAGGACAGACAGACTGCAAAGGGTTGACACATGGACAATAAAGTGCAAGCATGGCCACGGCCAATGACGGACGGAGATTTTGAGCCATGTTTTCAGCCCAAATAAAGACAACGAGCATACTTTGGATGCAGCAACAGGGCGAAAACGGTCTTGGTAAAGTCGCGCTTGCGGCCCGCAGGTAGAATGTTGGCCTTTGTCATTTCGATGATGGCTTGTAGCGTGTGATGAACCACAAATTCCTCACTGTCCACCCCGGGAGAGCATGAATAAGCGGGACAACACACACAAAGCATGCACAGCGCACGGGCGAAGGAGAGACGCTTTTTAAAACCACACACCTGTCACTGAGACCTTGAATAAGAAATGGGTCGAGCCCGACTTTGAGGTTCTCTCGTCCGAGATATACCGCCACATTCTACAAAGCACCAGATGCACACCAACCAGCGCGTGTAGCGTCAAATTGTTGAGTGAAGCCGTGCATGCAACACACCGGAGCCAGACTGTGTACAAGGCGGATGCAACACCATCCTCTAACCGAAATGCCGGTGAAAAATGCAGCTCGCAGGCGCCAGTCATTGCGCTCGTTCAGGTAGGACATCATGTGCGCCAACAACTGTGTGGCAGCTAGAGCCCATTGTGTGGTGTGTGACCGGCAGCATATTATGTGCAAGCCTGTTTTAGGACTCGTTTGACAGAAAAGATGGTGGCATTTGCAACTTACTTTTGGTGGGACCGAGGCTGGGACACAGCCGGTCCAGACTCGATAGCAAAAAGGCTCGACGCACCATCGATGATGAGTCTTTGACGATAAACTCAAGGTGCTCCTACGAACCCAGTTGAGGTTAGTTTGAAAAGAAAGCATATCATAGGAACATGGAATTGCTATCGCGACCAGAGCTGCACGGAGGGCATCGATACCTGAAGCATGTCCCGGAGACGGACAAGCTGGTGCTGATACACGTCCTTGCCGGTGCTGGCCAGTTGTTCTTGCCCAGCCACATCCGACTGGACGGCAGATTGGACAGTAAGAGGTGCATTCGAAGCCAACACGCAAGGTACTCGAGCCAGAGGGAGGCGCTGCGCCCGAAAAGGAGCCATCGTTACCTGCGCCAAGTCGAGAAACCGCTTGCTACAATCAGCCAGATCGGCAAAGCATTGCGCATAAGCCACTCGGCATGCGAGCTAGGGGCCAAAGGATGGTGTGAATGGTACATTCCGGCCAGCAAAGCTAGTTTGATCGCCTTCGCCCGAGCTCTCTCTTGCACGCCTCATGCGGGCTGACACGTCAAAAAGCGCATTTGATGCAACGACGCCGCATATCACGAAAATTGAATGGGCAAAGTAACAGGGCAGGTCTCAGCCTGCCTGCCGTAACAAAAGCGCGTCGCTTACCGGAGCATCATCTTCGATCAGGTGCAGCAAGTTTGGGAAGATGTAATGGGTGAAGAGCTGAACATGCGCCAGCTCAACCTTGCTCACCAGCTGCAACGCTGACAGCAGGGCTCTGCACCACGCACACGGCCATGAGGTAAGAACAGCGATGTATTCATTTGGCAAGTGGGTGGGGGAGACAGGAAGTATCAAGTGATGGTGTTTCTGTTGTCGGTTTTGCTTGGTCGTTCATGATTTCTCAAACAAGAATTGCAAACATCAAACTTACGACAGCGCCGAAGCCCTTAAGCGAGCTGGATGCTGCTTCAGACAAAGGTAAGTCAGGTGGGGTACAAACCGCTCCAAGCTGACAGTCACCAATGCCATTCGTGTGAGGGGCACCAATTCAAAGTCAGGGTGAAGCAAATGAGTTGCAGCGAGGGTGAGCTCAACAGCAATAACCGACCGAATTCCATCGTCAACGCAGGGGATGAGCTTGCGCACGGTATTGACACAGGTGAGCTGGGCCTGAAGTTGGTGCAGGTGGCGTAGGTTCGCAAAGAGGACGTTGGTGGCCACCACACCCACCGCCGCTGCATGAATATCAAGAATGGGTCAAAAATCAAAAAATTGAAAATAAAAATAAAAAAGCATAAAACAGGAAAGCAATGTGACATGGGCGTAATCAAAGTGAGTTTCAACGCCCGGAGGCTCAAGAGACAGAGGGCGGTTGAATCTGACGCAGGCGTACCCTGGTCAATGGAGCTCTGGCCTGCTGCCTTCAACAAGGAGTTGCATTCTCGGGCCATGTGATGGACTCGCGTTGCTGCGGCGGAGTTGATGCAGACCTCATGCTGGGAGGAGCGAATCAGGGGAAGCTTCTCCAGTGAGGTGTGCAAACCAGCAAAGGCGCTTGGAAACAACGAGCCGGTCAATTGCTCCATAAGTTGCGCAGCTGAGGGTCGCAGCTTGGGGTCGCGCTGCACAAGAGTTTGCACCAAGTCTCGAATGGCAGGCTCATCCAGCTGCGCCAACTTGTCATCAATGGTGCTCTGATTCTGTGGGACGTCGTAGTGTGTGGAGGCGGGGAAAGACAAGCAAATGGGGAAGGATGAGGCTAAAATTGTTGCGCACTTTGATACAGGCAACTTGATGCTGGTCTCCATAATTTGGACGTACCAGGCGATAAGTGAGTAAGGTGGAAAAGTCAAAGAGGTTCAGACCATCCGTGAACAGTTCAAAAATGATGCAGCTAGGGTCAGGTGAGGGTAGAGCGAAATACCGGGTGTAGTTGAGACAAAGGTTCGTCGTGGGATTTAAGAGGCGCGCCTTATCAGCGCTGCAGGTGCCGTGCGTATTCAGAACAGGAATGGCGAGAATGATGGACAAAACTTACCCAACGGCAAACATGTCCATGGCAGCGGTCAGTGCTTCATCGCGATATAGTTCCTCGGCTGTGACAGCGGCGCGACGAACGGAATGAGCAAGCAGTTGCTTTCAAGCTACCTCCTCGCCAGCTGTCGTTAAAGCATCTATAAGCGTGAGCATCACTTCAGTCAGAGCGAAGCAAAACGTACTGCCGTCCTTGGAGCGTGGTGTATAAAACCGCTCAGGGGCCAGCAGACAAGAGCGTTTGCCGGAGGTGTCGAAGAAAAAGTCAAAGGCCATGGGGTTGTTCTATGGTGAAGGATGAATAGGTTTGTCGGGGCGGGGGGCGTGAGGGAAGCGTCAAAAAGTGGACGGTGCGTTGGCAAGCGCGCCGTGGGCACGCCCGGGCCATGCGCCATCAGCGGGCGGACGAGCAAAGACTGACATCGGCCAGCATGCCAGGTTTGAAAGGTGCCCAATCAGAGAGCATGACCCACTGCCAAGAGGTCAGCAGAATGTTGTCGGGTTTAAGGTCACCGTGAAAAATGTTCTTGGCATGGGCATCACGAAGAGCATGGAGTAGCTGGTAGAGCATCCAGAGCTTCTCGAGCCGGCTGAGGAGTGGGCGAGTGGAGAGCCGGTCATAGAGGTTGGTGTAGGCATAGTCACGAAGAAGGAAAGCGGCGTTGTTGGAGGTGATGGGGTCCTTGTCGTAGCACAGGGCGTGCGGGGAGGCATGCAGCTGTTCCCAGTAGTGACGAAGGATGTTGCGTTCCCGTTCGTAGGACGCAGTTTGCTGACTGGCCTTGGCATCTGGATAAACGAGGACCTTGACGATACGGCGGTCGCCCTGGACGTTGGCCAAAGCCGTCTACGCACATGTATGTTGATTGAGAGCAAACACGATGAGTCATAATTTTAAAGCCAATGCTCCACGTCTGCCAGGAGCAAACAAAACAGCTGGCTCGAGGCAAAATAGGTTGCAGTGCTGGTAGAAAAGTAGAAAAGGCGCCCACCTTAAGAAAGCGAGTGCTGTGCACAGTCGAGAGGTAAGTATACCCAGACAGCTCGGCAAAGTAAATCTCCAAGGGTTGCACCTAGTCCACCCGCACAAGATTCCGGGCGAAGGGATGATCGGCCAGAGGCCAGAAGATGACCAAGGACACCGAGACGAGCATCGGTCATTGAGGTGACGAAATGGCATCGATGTCGAGAAGAGCGGGCTAGTGTCTTTGAAACAAGGGGAAACGACGGGGGACTAAAGCTATTTGGCACAAGCCAAAAGCAGACAAGGGGTGACGCCATCGTTCTCAGCAAACCTGAGAGGGTGCTGCCGTCAGTTGATTCCCCATGATGCCAGGTCGATCGCCTGGCGCGCTCCAAGCGCCGAACCAGGCCGATGACGGCGGCGGATCTCAGTTATCATCCAGCCCCCCTACACACACAAACATACCACTGAGCCCAGCCACACACACCCCACCACTTGACGCAAGCCCCACCGGCACCAAAGACTCCCCTCCTCCCCCTCCTCCCCCCACCCCACCCAGCGCCTTCCCCCCCGGCTTCAAGAGGCACTCATCCGCACGCACTCACCACAGCCTGTTGAAGAGGTTGCACGCTGCCGTCGAAATGAAGTTTTTTTTTGTGTGTGTGTGTCGTGTCTCGTCGTCCTTTCTGTTTCTTTTACTACATGTAAGTCTTTTTTTTCTCTATTTTCCTCCTACTTTCGCTTACTCCAAGCTGTCTTTTGTGCAACTAAACTCCATATAACTCAGCCTGATGCCTTGGCCCGCTCTACTACGGAGCATAGGATTAATGACCGGTCACTCCTGTCTGCTTTACAATTCATCGCTCCCCCTCGTTCTCTTCCTCTCCTCCTCTCCCCCACCCCCCTCCTCTCCCTCTCTCTTGTCTTTGACTTGCTTGACTTTGACATGCGAGCTGCTTTTTCCGTCCCTCTCAACCTCTCCCGACCCCCATGCAGTCTCACGGTCTTTATTCCTCGCGACTTGGCATTCGCGAGCTGGCTTGGAACGGGGAGGATCGAGTGGTCGCATTGGTGTTTGTGGCCTTGACCAGAAACACAAATTCAAAAAGAGCTGCCGATGGAACAAATGTGTGTCACTCAATGTGTGTGCAGTCACTCGATTGATGGCCTGGCACCCTGCGAGAGGACACGCGCAGAGCTGGCAACACTTTAGAGGTGAGGTCAAGCCCAAAGTCCAAGCACCGATCGACAAGAGGAGGCGCTGCAACCCTGTCCGGGTGGCACGAGGTGGCAGCTGACAGCCAAAGTTGCACTGCACCGCTTCCCGCGGCTGCGAGGCGTCACCGATAGGCGGGGACGGTGCACGGGCGAAAGGGCGCGGGCTTGGGGGGACCCATCAGCGAGAGCTCGGCCAGTGACGGTGAGACCGACAAAGCTGTCGTGGTGTCCTCCAAGTCACCCTCCACCAGGACGTGGGCGTCTGGACGACCGGTGATGGTGGAGGTGGCGACGATTGCGCCTTGCATCGCGGCAGCAAGCTGCATCAGATGACCGTGCAGGGGGAAGGTGTTGGGCAGCATTTCCAGAACGGCATCGATGGGATCCGCCCCAAAGGTGTAGTAGCAGCGAGGACGAACAAAGCCGTTGAACGTGGAAGCAGCACAGGCCGTATAGGCACCCATGTCGTGGTACACCAGCCAGTCGCCCACCTCGAGGAGTGGAAGCTGGGCCTCGCGGGCGATGCAGTCCAGGGAGTCGCAGGTGGGACCCCACACGGAAGAAGCATGAAGCTTAAGGTCATGGTCAACGTGGTTGGGGTCATGATCGGCGTCGGCCGCCCGGAGTAGGGGCAGGCCTCGCACCGACGCGTGATCGAAGAGCAGGCAATTGAAGGACCCATAGACGCCATCACTGACGTAGTAGCGCACGTGATCTTCCTCGCCGGGACGACCCGACGCGCCACGGCGGGCGATGACGTTGACGGCCAGGGTGACGGCTGAGTGGGCGTAGAACCGTCCAGGCTCGGCCATGATGGTGAGGTCAGGCAAGTGACCAAAGTGGCGCTGAAGGGCCTGACGAAGATGGTGGGCAATGTCGGCAAAGGTCACGTCCTTCGAGTTGGTGCTGGTTTCATCGGCGCCGGGAAAGCCACCACCGACGTCGAGAATCTTGAGGCAGACACCGAGCTCGGTGGCCATGTCAAAGACTTGACGGGCACGATGAACGGCATCGGCAAAGGCATTGGCGTCCGTGCACCCGCTACCAACGTGGAAGGACACACCGACGAGGTTGAGGTCCAGTTCGAGTGCACGGCGGAGCAAGCGAGGCACCACCGAGAGAGGGGCCCCAAACTTGAGGCCGAGGCGACAGACGGCGCTGCTGTCGTCGGCCAGCACGCGCAGGACGAGCTGGGCCTCGGGATAGTGAACATGAATCTTGTCCAGCTCGTCTTCGTTGTCAAAGGTCATGAGTTGAACGCCCCAGCGACGAGCAGCGCGAAGATGAGAGATGGGCTTGCACGGGTTGGCAAAGATGATGCGCTCAGGAGCCACGCCCATGTCCAGCACCTGAGCCATCTCGCCCTTTGAGGCGCAGTCAAAGTTGACACCGAGGGCGTCCAAGGCGCGCAGGATGTGGGGATCTGGGTTACACTTGACGGCGTAAAAGGGCTGGACATTGGGGAGCTGGCGCTCGAAGCGACGTTGCTGGCGCACAACCTGGGCCAAATCCAAAAGGAAGATGGCCCGGTCGGTGTCATCGTCATCCTCGGTGGGTTCGGCCGTGCGTGACTGGCACGTGGGAGCCTTGTTGACGAGCAGGTTGAGGTCGGTTCCCCGGTCCGGGCTGCTGCTGTTGCAGGCTTGCTGGCGGATGATTTGCCGAAGGGCCTGGCGCTGGGCCTGGTGACCATGGCCTTCACACGCAATGGCGTGCGTCGCGCTTTGGCCAATGGGTTTGGGCAGAGGTGGTGGTGGGGGCAGCATGACGTTGGTTCGTGGCAAGCGGGTGGGGGTTGCAAGCTGCAAACAAGCACCAGGGAACCGGGGACCAAACCGGAGAGTCAGCAAACAAGCAGAAATAAAAATAAGCCAAGGGCAAGTCGGCGCAGGAGCAGTACCTTACCTGGAGCCGGAGGAGATGGAGGCGTTGAAGCATCGAGGTGCAGCAGGCGCACGTGTCTCTGAAAAGAGCGGTCACTGACTCAGTGTCGTAAGTAAGCTAAGGGGGAGTAAGGAGTGGTAATGGGTAGTAAGGGTAAAGCGGTAAGGGCGTAGGGGGCTGGGGATGAATGTCAGTGTGTTTTGGAGAGATTGGGGGAGTTTCACAAGGTGAAACGGGTTTGACAGGGTGGGACTTGTTGTAGAAGATATTGTGGTTATTGAGGTTTTGTAAGAGTGATCGTGTTCATCTTGTGTAGCAAAAGTACAGGTTTGTGTCATCTGGTCCAATTTCTTCGACCAAACATCATGACACGGGGGTCAGAGAGCAGCCCGTTCGGTTACACCGTGAAGGTTATGAAAGGTGTGACGTGACGGGAAGAAGGGCTTGCGAGCACACCAACCAGTGTCTTCCATATGAATAGAGAGGAAGAGAACGTGGCGCACGACTGGCTGTTTCATCATGATGGGGACGAGCGGGCTGGGGCGAGCGGGAGAGGGGGAAACGCGCGGCGCACGGCGCACGGCGAGAGCCGGCAACAGAGAGAGAGAGAAAGAGAGAGGCGATGGGTTTGGAGTGAAGCAGATGGGTCAAGCAGCAAGACGTTTGTTGAGGCGCAGAGGCCGCAATGATGGCGCACTCCACGTGGACCTTTTCTTCAAGAACGGCACAAGCAAGATCGACTGTTGGTGACCGACCACATGGGCAGGAGGCGCGTCAGCGTGCATGACCTGGCCATGCATGCCATGCATCAGGAAATCATGTTGACATCGGGCCAGAATCCTTGTTTTTCAACGGCCGAATGACGTGTGCACTCATGGGAAGAAAAATTGGGATTGTGGTGGGCATGCACTAGCCACGAGCAACCCGGCCCACTGCACTGCGACTCGAGTGTCTTATGTTATAATATATTCTCGAGCAATGGATGAACCACACCAAAGGATCGAGATTGGGCAGAGACAGTGGAAGGCTGGAGCGTCGCCATGGACAAGTCTAGAAACAAACAGTGGCGAAACAAGGGACACGGCACACGGACACTGGGGCTTCGAGCTGGGGCAAGGGGATGTCCTAGCCGCTTGTTCCCGTTCCCCGACCACTTATCCGAGCTATTCATTTCTTGTCCAACATGGCGTGGCTATCGGGATGGACGTGGGGGAGCTTGGGTGAGGAGAGGAGAGCCACGTCAGCCGGGGCTCGAGGCCGGTGCGTAAATCGGGCTGGCAGCAGTCCCATGACAATTCGCACGGATAGATATACAAAGGAAAAGGCTGCCTACGAACACGCAGACCCATTGCCATCGCAGGATCAACATGATGAGAAGAAGAGCGCATGCTCGCGGAATCGTAGCCAGAAAAGAAGCCAAGGGGGAAACCAACGAACACCAAAGAACACCAAAGAACACCAACGAACACCAAACACCGTTTCGGGGTTGATCGCGGCCAGATGCGGCAGTCCCAGGCACAGAATGGGATGCGGTGCGAAAGACTCAAGTTTGGGGGAGGGAGGCATACCGGAAGAAACATGAGCCAACAGAGACAGGCCGTGCCAAAGGCGCTGAGATACTTGGTCAGAGCGTTGAAGCCCTCACGCTTGACCGCCCCAACAATGTCTGACAGTTCTTCACGACATGCCGCCTGGCCCTCGAGCTCGCCTTTGAGCAAGGCTTGGCCCAAACATGCAAAAATTGACACACAGAGCAGCTGAAAGATGGTAAAGCTAAAATTAATCACTGTTGATCCAAAAAAAAAAAAAGGGGGGGGGTGCCCAAAGAAAGCAGAACAGCAATTGAGAACTGCGAGCCACCCGGCTTGCAGGGAACGGGCTACGCAATTCGATGTGGCCACTGTGGGGCCACAGGCGGACCAGAGGCTGGCAGTTGCTGATGCTGATGCTGATGCTGTGCAGCAATGACCATCACATCAAAGAGAGGGCACAGGAACACCGTACCTTGCACGACGAGATGAGCAGCGGCTGGAAGACGAGCGAGCACAGCCAGGAGGAGGCAAGGCGGGGTCGTCACCCCCGGAATGGGAAACAAGCCTCCAGTGCAGCCCACGGCCACGGCCAAGGCGAGGTGGTGGGGAGACAGCGACAAAAAGGCTGTTTTAGCCCGCGTAAACATGCGCGAGCTCATGCTTCTGATGCGTTCAAACCACATGTACACGCTGCAGTGAGCCAGGCCCACCCTCGGCCCGGCACAACAGCAGCAGAGGTGGATCGGTAAAATGGAAACCCCCAGCAGCTGAAGGAAGCTGGGTTGGCCTCCCAACCACAATCAAGGTCAAGCAAGATGCCTTTGAAAGACGCGTGTCGTCACTCGAGCCAGGGACAAAGACCCAGGTCTGTATGCGAGCCGGATTCTTGATTTGCCGCATGCGCGACCCTTCCTCTTCCTCAGCTGGAGCCGTTCTGCATCTTGGGTTCGCAAAACAACACAACGGAGTGAGATGCTGCGCACCACACACCAAAACGAGACGGAGAGGAGTGTATGTGGATGGAGGGACCGCTACCGCCCCACCCGCGTACCCCAGACTGAACCAGCAAGCTCATGAGCTGATTATCCTGTCCCACGATCGCGGCCTTTGGCGCCCCGGGTGGAGGGAGCACCATTGGTGAAGGTCACACACACATGCGCATGCGCAACGAGCTGGTCGGCTCACCTTGTGGCTGCTCAAGGGCGCTTGCGATGAAACAGCGCACGGGGAAATTTACTGCAACAACGTTTGCATCTACAACATGTTCTTCCAAGGGAATCGCATCTATTTTCTTTCATACAAGAAGAGGCGCGACAACAACTTCTTTTCATGCGACATTAAGTGCAACCCAAACCTCACTTCAAAAATGACGAGGTCTTTTCATTTAATTTCCGCTCAAATGTCAGAAAGTTTTATCCGATTGTCAGCCATTTTGTGATGATCAGCCCCAAATGGCGCTGGCGCTCGTCAAACATTGTTGTGGCCAGCATGCGGCAGGTTAGGAGAAAGGGGGGCTGCAATGTCTGGTTGACGAGTTGATCGCTAAAAACGCGCCCAAAGGGAGGGGCGATTTAAGAGTAGGAAGGAGAGCTGGCTAGAGCCTGGAGGAGAACTTGACCCGATTTTCATTTTCCACTTGGCTCGCTTGTGCCAGCGCCATCGTCGTTTCGCCGTCGCCGTCGCCGTCGCCGCTGCCGTCGCCGCCGTGTACCTTGAACTGCCTTCTTGCTGTGGGGTGGACCTCTTGTTGGGACACGATGGTTGAGGGACATAGCTGCCATCGCGTAGCGGCAGCGCATCGCCGGCGATTGCTCAAGAAGCGCTTCGTCTGCACCTCGCCCAATGGGCGGTTTGTGGAAGGAGCACGAGCCATCGATGGTCAACCCTTGTCACGCATTGAGGTTCACGGGAAAAACCTCTTTTACTTCTTCGGCCCTCGTCCCGAAGCAGCCAACGTGGCCATTGTGCACGTTCACTTTGGCATGTCGGGTCGTTTTGCGGTTTTTGATTTGGACAAGGCCCCGGAACCCACTGCTACCACGCGCCTGCGCCTCGTCAACGAGCAGGCCGGCCTGGTTGCCCACCTCTCAGCCATGACCGTCCGCCTCTTGGACCTTGCAGGCTACAAGGCCAAGGTTGGTTGTGGCGCAACAGCCCCATCCCAGCGCATTATTAGTTTCTGAAAGAAATCAGTCATAGAATCTGACACGCTACAGCTGCGTGACAGCACGCGGTCGGCTCGGTGCTCATGTCAAATTGCCGATGGTTGTCATCTAGGCTCGTGAATTGGGCGAAGATCCCTTGCGCAGCGATGCTCAGCCCTCGGTTCTTTGGCCCCGCGTCAAGGCATCGCGCAAGTCCATCGGCGCACTCCTTATGGATCAAGGTAGGGGCTTGTTCGTGTATCACGGCTCTGCATTCTTTGGTTTTGGGGGGTGTTCTTGTTGTCGTCGTTGTCGTCGTTGTCGTCGTGCACTTGAGTGGAAGCTGTGATGGGCTTGACGCAACTCATGAGTCGTCTGGCGCTTGGGGTTAGGTTTTTTTGCAGGAGTAGGCAACATTTATCGGGCCGAAATCTTGTTCAAGTCTGGTGTGCATCCTGAGATTCCTGCGGCCTTACTGGAGGAGGAGCAGTTTGAAACCATTTGGCGCCATGCCGTGCTCCTCCTGCAACGAGGCTTTGAGGTGGGCAGCATCCTCACGGTGGATCCAGAGGAGGCGCGCCGGCTAGGACGACCCAAGATGCGACGATACATTTACAATCAAAAGCATTGCGGGCGGTGCCGAGGACCGGTGCGGTCGTGGATCATCAATGCACGGACCTGCTACGCTTGTCCGACGTGCCAGCCCTTGACGGAAGGCGTGTCCGACACGGTGGCTCAGGTTTTGGAGCGGGCCAAGAGTCCCACCGTGTTTACCAGTCACTGTGCCCCCGATACGCTGGAGGAGCGTCGATGCCAGCCCACCAAGCTACGCGTGGCTGAGCTTCGCGCCGAGCTGGAGCGCTTGGGCCACGCCGTCACCGGCACCAAGGCAGTTCTAGTGGAACGCTTGACGTCTGTCATGCACCAGCAACCCAAGACGAGTAAAGCTGCAGCAGCAAGCAAACCCGCAAGCCGCCGGCGCGCTCGGCAAAAGCGGGTCAAATCCCAATCCGAGACCAAGGCGCCAATTGCGGGCGTGGCAGCCAAGCTGCCTCGGCCTGGTACAGCCCATCTCAAACAGATGCGATCGGCTGCGGCGGCCGCTCGGGACAAGCGGGCTGTGGGCGAAAAGCAATCTGTCGAGCACGTGGCAGATCTTGACCAAACCTTGGCCGGAGCTACCGTGGACTGGACCGATCTACACGGACAGGACAACCCAGGTGTATCGTTGCAGCGCGAGCTGACGCCGAACATGGGCGACGCCGTCGTTCTGGTAACCCAAACTGGGTCGCGAAGAAGTCATCGCCGACTCTTTCCACAGGCCGATGATCAACCCGTGGCCGCTGTTGAGCGACAGTCTACCGTACCGCTCATCCCCGAGTCGGGTCAGGAGGCCGAACTGTACGTGCCGCGACGCCTTACGCGTGCAGCAGCAAAACGCGCCAAGATTTCCCTTGCCGCATGAAGCTGGTTGGCCCCGAAGCCTGCCAATCTTGGATGTCCTGCGTGTCTCTGTGTGTCTGTGTCTCTGTGTGGCTCCGTGCGTCTCTGTGTGTCTGCTTGGTGACGGCAATTGCCGTTGGGCTTACATGTTAGTGTGTTGTTGCTTTTAGTTGGCGGGGTCAGCAGTATTCCCCTTTTGCAATTGAGATGGGAACGCTTTCCCTTTGCTATTTCTTTCATGTTGCCTGCTGTCGGCTTTAAATGGGTGGTGTCAGAGAACCACCCATGCTGTGCGGATGCTGGCAGCCAGGCTCCATTTCCACGGGCTGGCCTGGCCGCTTTTGCTTGCCAAAACACACGCATGCACACTTTCACGCATAGGGCACATGCAGCTGCTCAAGAAGTCTAAGTTACACACAGAGTAGTCAAGACTGGGCTGAAGGAGATGAGAAGCGCGAGGCGCCCTACTCTTTGTCGATGTGCTTCTGACGTCGCACCGGAGGGATGACAGGGCGGAGCTCGTTTAGGCGGATTCGATTTTGCTTTCAAGGCCCAGGATGGAAACGGAGAGGTCGTGCTCATCATCGTAGTCGGCCCACTCGTCGCTCAGATCGACTTCGGTAAACTGGGCGCCCTCGGTCGAGGTGGCAACAAAGTTGTCGTCTGGGTGAAAGGCGATGATGTCACAGCCGCGGCATTCAAAGGCGGCGATCGGAGTCCACTCTCGGGACTGGGCATCGACGGCCGACTTGAGCTTGCCCTTGAGGTCGACAATGCTGACGGTGCAGGGCTTACGATCCTGCTTGGACCATTTCATCACAAAGTTGGCCGTGCCGCGACTGCCATCAACTTCGTGCTCCTCTGCTGGGTCGATCCAGACGCTCTCGCGAATTTCACTACCAGCTGCCTGTTGCAGGTCAACGCAAAAGGCCGAGCCTGGTGCCCGCTTCACCTCGGCCACGTTCTAATCCAAAAACCGACCCCACCATGCCGTGAGAAGCCCACCCCACCACGCCGCGAGCCCCTCCTTCCAGGCGAGCAACAAGCCCGCAACAAGCAGCGCGTGCATAACGTGTTGCGGTCGGTCCAACCGTGTCAGCAAGAGGGGCGCGCCACATACCTCGGCCTCGACACGGAGGTAAAGCACAAAAGTCGGCATATTGGACGTTTGTCGTGCTGCTGCGCTGCCTACTCGTTGCCGCCTCTATCAACCCAACAAGCAAGGCGATGAAAGATGGGACGGCGCGAGGACGCAGGCCAATGGGAATGGCGCCGCGACGAGATGTGACGAGATGAATCCCACTCGCACACGCACGCGGCTCAGCCAGTCAAATCTGACATTTCTTGCCTCTTTCTCTCAATTTCGTTTCTCTTCTCTCTTCTCTCTTCTCTCTCCAATTCATTCTCTTCTCCCTTTCTTTTTGCTGTTTATGCCTCTCCTTCTCTCTCTCCCTCTCAAGCTCTCTCTCTCTCTCTCTCTCTCTCTCTCTCTCTCTCTCTCTCTCTCTCTCTCTCGCTCTCGCTCTCTCTCTCTCGGTTCGATCTCATCATTGTTCAATCATCTCTCTCTCTCTTCGTATTGTTGTTATTGTGGAGGACCCTCTCTCTGCCCTCTGCGCTCTCTCTGCCCTCTGCGCTCTCTCTGCCCTCTGCGCTCTCTCTGCTCTCTCTCTCTCTCTCTCTCTGCTCTCTCTCTCTCTGCTCTCCGTCGATCGGTGGCATCGCATTGGCGCGCTTCATTTGGATTTTCGATTTGCTTCCGCGTCTTGAAAGGCGGTGGTGAGGTACGTGTTGGGCTCAGTTGCGGGCCTCTGGTACCGACCGACCGACCCAGCCAAATCCATCCTCTCTTGCTACACGCTTGACACGCTTGACGTTCTTCCGCTGGCTTCAACTGAACTTGCCCTCGACCCTTGATCCTCTTCAGCAGGGTCGCGCACGCGCGCTATCGGCCTCTGTGCAACAAGCGTGCACTGGCTGCTGCATAGCCCCTGTGGTTGTTGGCCTTGCTGGCGTCATCTGTGCCAGTCACAGCGTCGTTAGCCCGGCACACTTGGCCAGGCGGGTCTCGTCGACTCGGTGCCATGGCCGCCCTGGTGGAGTGGGATGAGGCCCTCCATTGGTTTCAAGCCGCCGGCACCATCTCAACCCAGATCTCCACCCTGGTCGACTTTGTTCAAGTGTTGCGTGATGGAGTTGCCCTCTGCGCCACCCTCAACTTTATCGTCCCTGGTGCCATTCCTGATGTGCACGCCGCCCCCAACCAACGCGTAAGCCATCTACATCGTGCTCGTTCCCTCCCTCCTCGTCCTCTTCCTCTGCCTCGTCCTCTTCCTCTTCCTCTTCCTCTCCGCTCATTTCTCCACCCCAATGGCCACACACACACACACACGTTTTTTTCTTTTTTTCTTTTTTTTTCATCTCTTTCATCTCCTCAGTATGGTGCCATTTGGAGTAAACCCGCCGACAACAACTCGGCTCCCCGTCTCCTTTCACTTGGCAATACTGATCCCCTTCTGTTTTTCATTCTCTCTCTCTCTCTCTCTCTCTCTCTCTCTCTCTCTCTCTCTCTCTCTCTCTCTCTCTCTCTCTCTCTCTCTCTCTCTCTCTCTCTCTCTCTCTTTCTCTCTCTC